AAGTGCAGTAGACCTCCCTTCCCACTGTGCTGCACGTCTTCTTGGCCTTGCTCTTGCTTGGAGTGCTGTAACCTCTCAACTGGTTTCTGGAATTCTCACAAAAGAATTTGGACTGTATATTGTTAAGTCATTGTCTCTGTGAGGGAAGGAGGGTATAGGGCTCCTAGCTTGCCGTCTTGCTGATGTCACCACACTGTGGTGTTTAAGATAACTCTAACTGATAGCTGTATACTATGTTCTAAGGGAGTTGTATTTATTTATTTTGCTTCTCCTTTTTCTGTTTTTCTTCCTGAAATGTTATCTTCATCTTAACTATTTTGAGTATACCAATTACTCAAAGGCTTATTTGAAGATACATTTCTTTACCCAAAAAACTTTTTTAAAAAAGTTTCTGTATTGGCACTACACTGCTACTTTAACTTTTCCTATTTGTTCAAAATGTCTTTTGTGTCCACAGTCATACTTTAAGCACCTTTAGAGCTGTTTATCTGAATTCTATATTTTGTGTAGTCTACATAAGTAACTAGTACTTGTTGGTTAAAATTATCCTTTTATCCTAAAAAAGCAGCAGGATGTATTTCTTGTTGACAAGGGAAGACTAATCAGTGGCGTCGGCTTGATGTGATCCTAAGCGCTTACCACCTTTGGTTTAACATGTATTATTATTAAGTCTTGAGGGAAGTTACTTTGTGTTTCTCAATTTAAGAAATACATAATAATAGTGTTATCACACATGGAGAACCAAATAATGGTAATTAACATGTAGATATTAGAATTTCATTTCTGTATTTCCTGTTTTTTGGGGGAAAAGACTGAAATCAGTTGATACTTGAATTTAGAATTGAGACATATTTTTATGAAATTATGTTACATAGTGGCAAGTCATCATTTTTAAATAAAAAGCGTAAAAATTATTTTGACTTGAGAATTTTGATATTTGACCTAAGCTGCCACCTAATTGGTAATCCACTACCTCTTGGGAAGAATAAATATGTACATTGTTTGTTGAGTTTCTGATGGTAATTTGGTGCCTGCTATGCCTAGTATATACTAGGCATTCACTAGATATTTATTAAATGTCTGGTTTATTATTTATATTTTTATTGTTAATATTTATTGAACCCTTATAGCATGTAAGCCATTTTCAAATTCTTTATTTTATTTACTCATCTCAAAAAACTGAGTTATAGTAATTATTATATTCATCTTTCATATGATAAGCAGTTGTTTTAAGTGGTAATTACCAGATTCAGATTTTTGTCTCAACTGGCAGTGTTTTCTACTACATTATGGAAGTAATAGATAATTTATTGACAAAGTAGTTAAGGTCTAAATTTTAAAGGTTTGTTGAATATTGGGTTCTATTTTAATCTTGGTATTTTTTTCTCCCTCAGAATCCACCAAACCCACCTGTATCTGTAACACCGGGAAAGTCTGGAGGTGATGTCAACAGCAATAACAATGTGTCCTACAGGTGAGAATTATAAACAGTCTATTTGTCAAGCTGTTTTTTTATCTTGTCCTTTTTTTCTGCCTCTCTCGTTTTTGTTTGTTTGTTTAAGTTCAATTTATTTGGACTAAAAGCAGAAAACAAAATATAGTTCCCACTCCCCAGATCCTACTGTTCTCTGTATACTTTTTTGTTCTTTTTAGATTCCTCATATAAGAGAGATCATATAGTATTTATCTTTCTCTGTCTGACTTATTTCACTTAGCACAATGCTCTCAAGGTTGGTGCAAATGGGAGGATTTTATTCTTTTTTTATGGCTAAATAATATTCGTGTGTGTGTAAAAGTTTATCCATTTATCTATAGATGAACACTTAGGTTGTTTCCATATCTTGGCTAATCTAAATAATGCAATGAAAATGGGCATGCATATATCTTTTCTAATTAGTATTTTTGTTTTCTTCAAATAAATACCCAGGGCCTTTGGAGCTTCCTTTGCTCAGCCCGCTCCAAACTCTTTGGAGTGTACTTTCTTTTCTAATAATGGCCCTTGAGCCATTCTCTACTGCTTTGGACCACTTCTGTTTCTTTGAAATGTATTTTTCCTTCTAATAAACTCCTTTTCTGCAACTTTACCTCTCTGGTTTGTGTCTCCATTCTTCAGTTCCACGAGGCCACGACCCCGGCACAAGAAATATCCTACATCATTAGTATATTTAAAATAAGATTGGACTATGTTAAAATACACTTTTCAGGAGTTGCTATGGAGGACAGTCCTGTACACAACAACTTCCTGTTTTGCTGAGAAGTCTTTTCAATAATATTGACACATTTCACACAATAAATAATTACTACAATTTCATTTTAATTACAAGGGGTGTAATTTGAGATTGCCTCAGAGCTACAAGGTTAATTAGCTTCCTATTTATTAAGGCCTGGTTCACACTGTGTGGAACTTAAAAAGGTCTCTTAAAAGACATAAAATATGGAAAACATTTAATACTTTCAAATAATTGTGAAATACCTGAAACCGGGATCTTAAGGTCTCAAACTCACTATTAACACCAGCTTTACAAAGCTAAAAAGTGAGGTAATAGGCTCATTCCTAGGTGCAAAATTACTTTATTACTTTTAATAATAAATTACCTTAATGCATAAAAACAACAACAAAACCAAATACCCAGAAGTGGAATTGCTGGATCATAACGTAGTTCTGTTTTTAATTTTTTGAGGAAAACTCCATATTGTTTTCTATAGTGGCCGCACCAATTTCCATTTCCACCGGTAGTGTACAAAGGTTTTAAATAACAAGTCTATTAAGTTTTAAAATAAGAATACAAGGTTCTTATTTTATTTAGCAGACAAATCTTGAAATGGAATCTTAGCTATTTGTGTAGAGATAAGTGGTCTACTGGATTAAGTATATTCCCTTCTTTTTTGCTTTGTTATAATTGTTCATCTGTAGATATTGGTTTTGCTGGTTTATTATAAAGCTTTCTTTGGTGATTACAGATTTCTTTAATTACTTGTACTAAATAGTATTCTCTTAAGTAATTGAAATGTTTTGGTCAGGGTGATAAAAACTAATGCCTGCAGATATTAGGACCTACATTTGGTTTTTAGGTAAAAGTATTGAGGACATTAGAATATAAGAGGAAGAAGACTCTTCCCTAATGCCATGGACCCCAGCATTCTGAAGTTCTGTGCGTTCCTTTGCCTCGGTATATTCACTTGCAGCTCAGTGCTACAATACCCAAGTCTAGCCACCCTTTTTTCCTATGGGTCACTGCTTTCTCTATACATAAATTGATGTTCCTCAGAACAGCACATCTGTGACTAACTATTTGTGTGTATATATGTTTCATAGAAATGCAGGCACAGTGAGACAGTTACTGGAGTCCAAAAGAAATGTAAGCGAGAGTACAACGCCGTCCTTTCAAACCCCTGTAAACACAGGTAATAATATCCTTTAACACTGAAATACATTTTCTTAGTAATTGAAGGCTTTGGTTTTCTTTTCACATTCTTTTGAGGTTGAAATGTATTAAGAAACTGAGTATATTGATCTAAAATTGAGGGCTAAGTATAAAATTTTATACATTAGAATTACAAATATACATGAAAATACAGAAATTCACATCTTTACTATAGTGGTTCTCAAACTTGCTGGTTATCATATCCCTGTATAATCTTAAAAATTTATTAAGACTCCTCCAAAGAGCTTTTGTTTATGTGGGTTTATATTAATTTGTATTTACTATAGTAAAAATTAAAAAATTTAAATGTTTATTCATTTAAAAATAATAAACCCATGTTTTGTAACACACATAACGTTTTAATAAAAAATAACTTTTCAAAGCTTAAGTAGTGAAAAGAGTGTCTTACATTTTTATAAATTTCTATTATGTCTCACTTAAAACATGAAGACAGCCTACAAAAGCTGGATTCTCATATCTATGTCTGCATTTAATCTATTGCAATTTGTTGTTTTGGTTGAAGTATATGAAGAAAATTGAGCCTCATACAAATATGTAGTTAGGAAAGGTCTAGCTCTTTTAGAGAACTGTGGATATTTTCTTTGACACAGTCAGGTAGTAGTTTATTAAAGGTTAGTTGCAAAGTGGACTCTGAAACTATACCAATGAACTTTTCTAAATTTTTTATTAAAATCCACTTGTCTGTCTTGAACTTGGGTGGATCTTATACTAATAGCATCATTGATCATTTGGGAAATGCTCACTGACTTATCTAAATCTTCCAAATGTTGACACATCTCATTAATAATTTTTTTTAAATTACATTCACTTATTTCACTATTGATTTCTTCTCAGAAAAACGTTAAAGATTTGGGAAGCTGCCGTGCTCTCAGTGGCAAATAGAAGTTTTTTCAAAGTTCTAATTTTTGTTTTTAAAACTCAAATTTTATTATTGCCAATAAATACTGTTGGTTATTCTATTTGAAATGACTACCTCACTTGGTTTATTTTCAAGAAATGATTTACCAAATTCCCAAGTGTGAATAGCCATAGTATCCCTGTAAGTTAACCTTTGAAGTAAAAATGGACTTCCAGGACAAAGGCTGTTAACTCAGCCTATAACTCATCATACAAATACTTTTCCTGAGCCAGCCATCTTCCATTGGCGTGCAGCAGGAATGTTTTATGTGTACTTCCTATTGCTTCACACAGAATAGTAAGACCTGTACTAAATGGTTGAGATTTAACAAAATTAATATTTAATACTTCATCATGGACATTTTAAGTGAAACTGATTTTGTTTGTTACTGTGAACGTATTGTGGTAAAGAATGCAGTGATCGTTCGGTATCACTACCTCGATTTTTGTACTGAGGAATCAGAAGTTTTAACTCACCATTAATTATACTTCATCATTGAAAATACCTACATGGTGAACAAGTCAAATAATGTTTTATTATTGTTATAAAAATAGTTTTGACATTGCAAGCTGCCCAAAAGGGTCTCAGTAATTCCCAAGTGTTCCCTGGACCACACCTTGAGAATTGCTGCTCTAGTGTGCCTTTGATTTTGGAAGAAAGACTACAAAACAATGAAAAAGAAACTTGGCCGTCTATTTCAAACCTGTTCAAATGAGAATAAATACCAATAGTCGAACCCAAATTGCTGTCAAACTCCTGTTACCAGCATTTTGATTTTCTCTGGTCTTTGGTACCAGCTCCCTTATTTCTTAGTTCATCTTCCACCTTTACTCTGCTACTTTCCATATTGTATAATGTCAGTAGAGGCAGCAGGCAGCCTTCTCTCTCTAGTTCCTCTCCCAGGCAATTAAATACAACTTGATCCACAGATGCAGGTTTCACATGGTCCAAATGATAAATACATGGCCAAATTTATCTATTACTCAATAACAGTGATGACTCTTACTAGTATTTCTATTTGAGTTTATATATTGCCAGCGTCCTAAAGCATTTATAATGTTTTTAACCTACTTTCAAAAATATCTATATAATTTTACCAGGTTTTCAGTTGTTTCTCCAGTTACGCTGAAGTGATTATTAATTTTCAGAGACTTTTGATAATGAGATAGCAGTCCTCCATATTAATCATAAGCCATGTGATATTTTTATAATGTATCAATCATAGATGCAATAATGAATGCTTCTACAAATTTAATTCTAAGAATTTCAAGAACTTAAATCTGGAAAAAAAAATTCGTTATGAAGGATTTTACTGTATCGACTGCAATGCATTAAAATTGTATTTGTTATCCTAGCTGATAAATGAAGATAGCCATTTAAACTGAAAGTTTTTTTTTCTTTCCATAGTATCTTCAGCCAATCTTGTCACTCCTCCAACAGTTGTCAGTAGTCAACCCAAATTGCAGACTCCAGTGACTTCGGGTTCTCTGACAGCAACGTCAATTCTTCCTGCACCCAACACAGCTACAGTAGTTGCTACTACTCAGGTGCCTAGTGGAAATCCCCAACCTACAATCTCTTTACAACCTTTACCGGTGATTTTGCATGTACCTGTTGCGGTATCCTCCCAGCCTCAGCTCCTGCAGAGCCATCCAGGGACTATAGTGACCAATCAACCATCTGGCAACGTTGAATTCATTTCTGTCCAAAGCCCGCCTGCAGTGAGTGGTCTCACCAAAAACCCAGTATCCTTGCCATCCTTGCCAAACCCCACTAAACCCAACAACGTCCCTTCTGTGCCCAGCTCTAGTATTCAAAGGAACTCTCCTGCCAGTGCTGCACCCTTAGGAACAACACTTGCTGTGCAGGCCGTTCCAACAGCACACTCTATTGTACAAGCCACAAGGACTTCTTTACCCACGGTGGGCCCATCAGGACTCTATAGTCCATCAAATAACCGAGGTCCTATACAGATGAAGATTCCAATTTCTGCTTTCAGTACTTCATCACCTGCAGAACAGAACAGCACTTCTACCCCAAGAATTGGTAAGTCACTATGCAGGTTTAATAATAGAAATGCAAGCATGATAATGGCCTGTAGATAATAGATGTTTGTGTGTGGAAGTGGCTAGTATTATTGGAAAAAACAATAAATAGAATATCCTGGAGATTATTTTTAGTAATTTTTAGTTATATAAGAAATGTTGTTAAAATGGAAATTGAGAGAGAGTTTGTATGAGTCAGAAGTTAGCATTTGTAATTTATCCTTTAGGAATTTTCCTAATCTGGGTGAATTTTTCAGTTAGGCTTTGTAGCAAAGCTTTTATTATACATTTGCCAAAGATATCTGAATAGAACAAATTTATCTTAAAGGGTCTAACTGATGAATATATGCTTCTAAGAGGAAAATAAAAACCACATATCTTCCCTACACATTTGGAAAAATTTTTTGTGCATTCATCACTCACATCTTCCAAGTTTGAACAGTTTACAAATAGGTTCTCCCCTCTCTAATTTACTGTAAAATGTTTGGTTGCTTTTGTTTTCTGTTGTGTATTTTCTCCTATGACATACGATTATGTTTGTATATATCTGTGGACTTCAAAGTATTGCAAAAAGGAGAGCTTGATTGTACCTGTATTTAAAACCTGTTAAACTTTGTCTTCCTTGTTCTTAGAAAGCATGCGTTTTGTATGCATTCTTGAACTTCCTTATTCTTCATTTCTGACTTTACATTTATCCCTACTGCTTTTGGAAAGACAGCAAGAATGGCTAGACATCATGTGTATAGTGAAATTACTACAGTATCTGTCTTATTGATATAGTAAGTGGCCGTGAACTAGAAGAAACAGATTCTAAAGTACAAAATTACTTTTATAAGTGAGATATATGACCCTTGTTTTTTTTTAAATTTTTTATATAGCCATTAGTAGTGTACTTACCCTCTCAGTATATTTTCTTGTATAAAACGGTGATGGTATTTCAGAGTTGTTGGGAGAGTAAATGAGTAGCAAATCAAAATTAATATTGGACTAATCTGAATATCACCCTCACATAATTAACATCTGGCATGTGAGAGTAAATCTGCAATTTTATATAAAAATGCAATTGTTATTAATATTAGTACTTAAAATTAAATGTTCGCATAGTACAATATTTCTTAGCATTATCTGCTACCATATTATTCCTTAGACACTATTTCATGTCTGCAACCCTAAAAATGGTTACTTTTAACTATGAGTGAATGAGCAATATTTTAGAGGGTTACTGTAATTTTCTCTTATTTCTTTTTCTTCTGATCCTTAGTATTTTTTAATATGTCAGGTGGAAGATGATTTATCATCAGCATTGTTTTATGTGATTTTGGAATTTTTCCTCTTTATGAAATATTGATCTGAAGTTGACATTGTTTTCAATTAATGGTCACAAGTTAAGATATATTCTTTTTTTGTTTTTTGTTTTTCAAGATTTTATTGGGGAGTTGGGGGAGGGGAACAGTGTTGGGGAATTGGGGAAGGGGACCAGCCAAGTTGTTCTTCAGTCTTCATTGTGGAGGGTGCCAGTCGCCATCTGGCTTCCCGTTAGCAGCTCGTGGCCTCTACGCTCAAGGTGCTGTGTTCAATCTTAGTTGCGGGTGAATGTAACCACCATTCCATGTGGGAGTCGAACCAGCAGCCTTGTTTTAAGAGCACACGCTCTGTCCACTGAGCCATCTGAGCGGCAGCTGAGCTCAAGGTGCTGAGTTCAGTCTTAATTGCAGGTGGGCATAGCCCACCATCGAACAGGCAATCTTGTTGTTACACCAGCTGAGACATCCTGCCGCCTGTTGTCAGCTCAGCTCGGGTGCAGCGTCACTGGCCCATCTGGGAATCGATGCCACGGCCCTGGTGCTCAGAGCTTGTGCTCTTCAGCCAACTCTTAACCACTGAGCCACTCTGCCCAAAACATACTATTTTTAAATATAGAACTTCTGGAAAGACCATGGGCTTAAAAAAAAGAAATAAAAGATTTTGTTTAATGTTATGAATATTAGTACCCTAAATTTCAGAATTATAATTTTATTATTCTGTTCTCTTAAAATATTTATGAACATTTGTTGACACAAAGGGTATATTTTCCGCAAAGTGATCTGGCTAACGCATTCTGTTATTTATAATACATGTCAGCCTCTTTTGTATTTGTTTAATTACTTGACTGTTTTAATTATTTTTGTATATTAAATTGTTTTCATAATCATTAATTAGTACATCATTCTACTTTTGTGATAATACATGTTTATACTTACACTTGAAATTTTATATTTTTAACATATTTATTTAATACATTTTTATGTACTTTATAAATTTTATGAAGTAGATCTTCATTGAAATTCTATTTAGAATGTTTACATACATTTGAAAGTAAATTATTAGATATTAACCATGAATGTGAATGATAAGCTTTGTTTATATGTCATTTATAATGTTAATTAGAATGAGATCCTATGAGGCGATAAGTTCTTTGATCATGCATATGTTCCAGGGTGCCATAAATGACATTAAGGTAGGCATTTAACTATTTAGGCTTTCCAGAACATAAGCTGAAACCAAATAGCAAATTTTGGCTTAAAGTAGAAGTTTAAGCCAAAATTTAATACATCCCTAATGTGATAAATGAATTAGATCTATAATTAAAACTTTTTAAGTCCTATACTTACATTGGTATTATTGACGTATTGAGAATATATGCTGTCTAACTAAACTGTCTGAATTTGTATGTATTTTATTATAGTTCATATATCCTCATTGAGGAGGTCAGTATTTTCTGTTTATGGTAAGGTAAAAATCATCCCAGAGACTATATGGACATTTAGGGATTAAATTATAGCTAATGTCAGTCATTCATGAAATATTGAATGTCTGTATTGTTATAACGTCCTGAAGATACACTGAAATGTACAAAATAGTTTATATTCTCACCAAGCCCACAATCAAATAGGAAACTGGGCTCTTAAATAAGTAATTAATTATAAATATGATGAATGTCAAGATATGCAGATTTCTGTCAGAAGATATAGGACATCTGCAAAAGTATGAGATAATAAATAGAAAGATGGTAGAAAATAGGGTTAAAGGAATTTTTTACTGTGAGGGATGTGACATCCGTGAACACTGGCTGCAGGGAGGGGATGATGGTTTGGAGGGGATAAAAATGGAGTTAGACCAGTTAGGAGGCTCTTGTAGTGATCTGGGTGACAGATGGTGTTGTGAAAATGATTTAAAAGTTTTGCATTCCATTAATTTTCATACAGCATTCCCCAGCACCTACTCAGGGGCATTACTAACTGGCACTCCTACAAAACCCTTTGCTGATTCTGGGAAAAATGCAGTGTTGGTTAAAAATGACAATAACTTTTAAGAATAATGAAATAGAGATATTTCCCAAGTGATAGAAGGATTTTGAGGTACAATTTCTGATTTCATACCCTGGCCAGTTTTATTGATTATTAGATTGATTTATAACTTTTTACTTGGAAGTCAACTGAAGTAGATAATATAGTAAAAGAAAACAAAAAAGATTCAGTAAAACTGTAAAATGTTACAGTAAGAATGAAGAAGGGCTGGTTTAGTGGCTTATTGGTTAGGATTTGGCTTGGGACGCCAGCTCTGAGCAGCAGGGCCCCGGTTCAGATCCGACATGAGGATCAGTGATGCTGCACCCGCTACGGCTAAGATGGTGAACCACAGCTTGACCTGGAGCTGGGCTGCCATGAGTCACCGGCAATGGCGTAGGCTGCAGTGGGGCTGGTCAGCAGCTGGCATGAGCTTTCCTGAGCTGCCAAGAGCTGCCGTGAGCGGCCGTCCAATGGCTGGCGAGCAAACTGCCTCAGCTGGGAAGAGCGCAATGATAATACCAACATGGGCCAGTGAAGCAACATCCTCCACAACTAGACTGAAGAACAAAAGGACAGCAA